TGAAGCTGCACTTGCAGCAACTCCTTGGTTTTCCATTTTGTAATCCAATCCTCCGCTACATACCTCCTTACGATGGCCATACCTCCCACACGATAAGCAAATTAAATGCAGCCCTTCATAGCCAACATTAATAATGACCTCTTCGTTAAGCATGTAGTCCCAGATTTTAAATCTGGACACAAAGCTTTTACATAAATCCACCTCCACACATATACGAGCGAACCTTTCTTTATCCGTGTCACCCTCACCGTCTGCTTCCTTTCTGAATGAAGCCTTATCAACCTTCAGAGTTTTCCCAAAGATATTCCCTATGCTCCAAAGGTGTTGCATGGTGTAGAACTCTGTGGGAAGTCCCGGTATCCTCAACCAGATTGCCAGTCTTTTAATCTTGTCATCGTAAGGATCAAAAAAGGCCTCCACCTTTGCACAATGACATAATGATCAGCAACCACCCAAGGACCTTCATGGAGAATGTGGTGGTAGTTTTTCTCTTCGTTAAAGGTGATTAACGAGTATCCATTGTCCATCTCCACCAGTTTGAAGCCTCCCATTAAGTTCCAGAGTTTTTGGAGTCTAGTCATCAAGAAGCGAGTGGCAATCTTCTTTCCCATCAATTTAATGATTAAAGCTTTCCTCCATTTCTTGCAGTCTTCCATATGTTGCTTCCTAGAAAAGACATATGTTGGACAAAGAGGATCGTCAACCCTTCCTGGATGTACTCCATCTTTCATGGTGTCTCCATCTTCGTCTTTATTTTGTCTGGTAACCCAGTCATTATCGTCACTTTCAGAATCATTTCCATCACCATTGAGGCATGTGACCTTGTCCCTGTAGGATACTAGCTTTCTTCCTCTAGGGACCTCTACCCTCCCACTCAGAACTGATACTGGAATGGTAGCTTCAACTCCACCAAGGCCCTCATTTGCACCATTACACGACAACACATAAACCAAAGTCCCGTCAATCAGGTCCTCAGGTGCCTTCAACGAACTCCCACTACCAGTTAACAAGTTCTCATTACTCTTCGATGAACTCGCACTACCAGCTAGGCAATCTTCCTCCTCCGTCGATAGTCCTTTCACGAGAACCCTGCTGCCTACCTCACCAGACATGACTCCGTTCAGGGACAGATATTTAGTGTGCATCTTCCTAACTCTCCTGACTCTAGCTCACCATCCCTTTGTTTCTACTTGAACGAAACTTTGCATCAATGAACCTCTACATAATAATATTGAATCTGAACTGAACACGTGCTTGTTAGAGAAAGAAAATAGAAGGTAAATATTGATACTTGTTAGAGAGAGAATCAAAGATAAAGCTTGATACTTAGAGAGCACTGTCACTCGCAGCCCCAGATCACAGGACCCGACGCTAGTTTTAGCTCGCACTTGATTTAAGTGACGGCGTCACTCAGAAAACTATGGTGTCTTTGAGAACTAACATTTGTAATTGACGAGGGAGAAGTGGTAATCGTAGCTTGTAACAGTAGTAGAAAGGAAGGCAACTTCCAAGAGAAAAAGAAGAAAAGTCAACTTTTTTTTCCTTTCTCGATTGATACTTTTGTGGATAAAAAAAATAGTCTATATCGACTTTTGTGTAAATTCGAGAAAAAAATTAATAAAATATACAATTTGTTTTGTTTATTTTAGCTGAGCAATGGCATGATATTGGTTGGAATTTGGGTCACTTATTATTATATTATTGAATTGAGTAGTTTTAATATTAAATTGGACAAATTACTTTTTTTTGTATAAGTATTTCTCCAAATATTTATAAAGTTGAAAATTGGAAAAATTAATAAATATAGGGACCAATTGAAACATCAAAATTATGTTTATAGTATAATGGTGTGTGATTTATTTATTTTCTTATTAGAACGTTTGGAACTAATATTAATTTTTTATAGGTATTTGAGTATACTAATAATTTTTTTAATATAAATTATATATTGTATATACTTATCGGGTCATGCAATTCAACCAGTGACCCAGTACAGTACCTTGGCCGAATCAATGATCGAGCCGAGTTTAATAACATTGATTTTTCTCTCCAAGTTTCGCAAAAATCCCTTGTGAAACTCACGGATTGTATAATGTGGTGCAATCTTAACCACTCAACACCTTTAACCCTTAAAATAATATTAGTGAGTTCCCCAAAAAGAATCCGCAGAACATATTAAAAAATTTAAGAAAATATAAAAATAGTTTTGCACTGCGGAACTAAATATCTCCATCGAAAAATAACTTTGGGAGTACCAAACGGGTACAAATATCATTCAGCACTCCTGAATAGTCAAACAACCAACAAAGAATACTATCCAGGGAGATAGGGATATTTTTATCTTAAAATTGCTAAATATGTTTAATTGTTCTAATATAATATATGGGTTTAATATTTTTATTTTTGTTGTAGAAATATTTTTCTACCACACTCACATAAAAAGTGGGTAGGTCCATTAATCTTTTCTCTTTCTTTTCTTTGCAATGGGACCGACTTATTTTAAAGTGAGTTTTAGAAAAATAAATTGCAGTAAAATGAAAAATATTTTTCCTATAATATATAAGGCATAATATGGTATTTTGAAGAGAGTGATTTTTTTTTAATTTTTCTTCATTTATTATATGTCACATAATTTCTTTTAGTATGAAAATTTATTCTAACACCTAATTATTTTTTAAAGTAAGGGAAAAGTTCAAATTTTTTATGTGGTTTGCTCCATAATTATTTATCTCCCTACATCATTTTTATCATTTATCTCTCTTATTATTTTTTCCATTCAAGTCCACATCTAACGTGTAACACTCTGTTACGTACCGGTGTGTTAGCATTGCATAGTATTAAGTGCAGCGTAATAATAAAATTAAATTACTCCTTAAATTATATCTTAAATAAAATATTCTTAAATTTAATTATACATTAGACTGAAATCAAGTTCCCTGGTACATCTGAAATAGTCTATATTAAATCATCATCCAAAAAAAAATGTTTCCACTCTATTAGTCATTCCACTGAACTCTGAACTGTCTTTAAAGTCTTTAACCATATAGCTTTATCCTACTCTAACGCTACACATACTGGCATACTTAATTTCAGGAAATGTTAGCATAAACATAAACACACATGAGAAAAATATCAATAATATTAGGGTTTTTGAACTATAACCAATCCAACCACTTTAGTGGATAATATCATTCTCTCAAAACATGTTTATAATAAGAAAATAATATCATCATGAATAATAGATATAAGCCCAAACATTTGTGGGTTCTTCATTCAAACATACCCAAACCTTTGTGTATATACTCAAACCTTTATGGGTTCTACATACAAATATATAAAGGAACGTGTAGTCTTTAATTGAATGACTAATGCTCAATTTTGTAAGCGCTCAAATTCTGTGGGTTCTGTATGTGAAAAGTTCTGTATGGAAGAGCTCAAGTCATAATAAGGCGTCTTTTATCCTATAACCATTCTGATCCTCTTGTGGGTCAGTCACATCAAAATAATTTAGTAAAAAATTACATATTTTGTACTACTCATTTGGCACCAAAGGAATTCTTTAGTTCTATAGTCTTGATTCAAAATCATTCTTATAATGAATTTAAATAAATTCATCAAATTCACAAAGTCAAAGATAGAAAATAAATCAAAAGAGTAGAAATAATTCGTAATAAAATAATTTGACAAAGTAACGACATCTTCACATTTTTTAAAGAAATAACTTCAAAATACTATCTTTAAACATAACATAGATAAAAACAAAACCAAGAAAATCAACTTTAAAAATAAAAGGAGAGAATGAGTTGCTTTCTCCTAATATTACCTTTGTCTTTTATTTCTCCCATTTCTTTTTTCTTTTTCTTTCTTCTTTCTCATTTCCTTTCTTTTCTCTTGGCGTCCTTTTTATGTTTCCTTCTTACTATCTTTTCTCTTTTCTTTCAAATTCTTCTCTTTGTTTCCTTTATTCTCTGCCTCTGTTTTTCTTTCTATTTCTTTTCTCTTGTTCTCTATTTCTTTTTCCCTCTCTCTCTCTCTTGCTGCTCTCATTTCTTCCTTCATATCAGAGTGTATGTATTTACAGAGGCGGACCCAAGTTAAGGAGAAGGGGGCAAGTGCCCACCTTTAAATTTCATTGTGAAAATACCAAAATACCCTTCAATTAAAATTCAAATTTCCTCCTATTTCTTTTTTCTTTTTTCTCCTCCACCCGCGTGAGTCCGTGACCAGACCTAGCCACCTCCATTTGACTAAATCAGAAGCAGTCATTGCCATTAGAGACTGAGAAGAGATCAGAGAGCTGTATACCATTTTTGTACGCCTCTGCTCTGTATGTTCTCTTTATTTATATATGGGTTAGATCTTATTCTATTTGACTTTTTTTGTGATTCTTTCAAAGGTAGCTGCGCATAAAGGATGAAGGTAGCACATGGGAGATCTTCACTTCACCCATAACCACCCCCAGACCCAGGTTTATTTTTTATTTTTTTATTTTTTTGGTACATACAGGTTTATTTATTTTCACTTTCTTTTTACATTCTGTGTAAGTTTTTTTAGCTCACCAGTCACCTTTCTTTTTGCGTCCGTCTCTGGTCTGGTTCCATCCATATTTGCTAAATTGAATTACTTGATTTCCTTGTTTTCCCTGTGTGACTCACTTGTAGCTTGTCTGTTTGCTTTTAGCTTGTTTAATAATTGTTAATTGTTAATTGTTTGCTTTTAGCTTGTTTAATAATTTTTAATTGTTTGCTTTAAGAACTATAGAATAACTAACGATTTTGTCCTGTTCCTATTTCATTCTTTAATTAAATTTTTATTTGAAGTGCTCCACATGATTGCTTGCACAAATGATATTATAGTCAGAACATGATTGCTTGGACAAATAATATTTTGGTGTAAAAAAATAAAGCTAAATTTACTATAATACTTTACTAGATTATGCATATTGAGTGTCAGTTTCTCTTTTTTTATTGATTTATTTTTGTCATTTGTCATTTTTTAGGATGGAAAAGTATGTAGGTTCTTCTTTTACAAAGTCAAGTAGTGGCAGTACTAAACGTGCTCCATCCGAATCTGCATCTATTGATTTATTTCAAGATAAACAAAATGAGTGTGCTACTCCCTCAAGTCAGAACAAACCAACAGTAGAAGGTCCACCGGATTTGTATGTTCCTGATCCGGGTAAAAGACTTCCTATTATGAGAATTGCGAAGAGTGCTCAAGAAAGGGAAATGATTCGAAGAATTTATATAACGAATGGTCCTTGTCAACCAAAACTTGACAACTTTCCTCAATCCTTAATTGGGGGTAAAATGCGTAGATTTAATCCTCAATGGTACAATGAGTTTGGCACTTGGTTGGAGTATAGTGAATCAAAAGATGTTGTATTTTGCTTGCATTGTTATCTATTTAAATGTGAGCATGGTGATGGAAGGGGTGGTCATGATTCATTTGCAAGAGAAGGATTTAGCAATTGGAAAGACAAACAACGGCTTTTTAAACATATTGGGAAAGTTAGAAGCATTCATAAGTAGTGCTTCAGTGCTGCCAAAGATTTGATGAATCAAAATCAACATATTGACATTGTTGTGTCTGGCATTTTTGACAAAGCCAAACGGGATTATCTTATTCGTCTGAATGGTTCTATTCGATGTATTCGATATCTCATACGACAAGGTTTGGCTTTCCGGGGACATAATGAGACAGATGCTTTAATGAATCAGGGAAATTTTGTGGATCTTGTAAAATTCGTTTGTGAATGCAATGAGGAGGTAAATAATGTATCTTTGAATAATGTCCCAGAGAATCTCAAAATGATAGCTCCCTCAATTCAGAAAGATATTACTAATATTGCTTCTAGTTTAGTTACCAGAGCTATTATTTCAGATATTGGGGATAATTTATTCTCTATATTAGTTGATGAAGCTCGTGATATATCAATTAAAGAACAGATGGCCATTGTTTTAAGATATGTGAGTTGCAACGGTGACATTATTGAGCGTTTTCTTGGTCTTGTTCATGTTTCAGATACTACAACTAGTTCACTTAAAGAAACTATTGAGATAATTTTTGCCAAAAATGGCTTAAGCTTGACAAAGATTCGTGGTCAAGGTTATGATGGTGCAAGCAATATGAGTGGTCAATTCAGTGGTCTGAAAAGCTTGATTTTAGTTGAAAATAATTCTGCTTACTATGTTCACTGTTTTGCACATCAACTTCAATTAGCTCTAGTAGCTTGTGCTAAAAAGGTTTACGCTTTGACTGATTTCTTTAATTTTATACCATTGTTGTGTAATGCAGTTGGTGCTTCTTGCAAAAGAGCAGATATTTTGAGAGAAAAACAATTTGATGAGATAGTAAAAAGTATTGCAAGCGATGATGTTCAATCAGGGAGAGGCTTGAATCAAGAAATGAGTTTGTCACGACCAGGGGACACACGTTGGAGCTCACATTACCGATCATTGGTAAGTCTGTGTACATTGTTTGATCATGTGCTTGATGTGCTAGAAATTATAAAAGATGATACAACACTTATGCATGCAAAAAGGTCTGAAGCCTCTGGCCTTATGATACGTATGCAAACTTTTGAATTTGTATTACTTTTGAACCTGATGATCAAGGTCTTGGCAATAACTAATGAGTTGTCACAAGCACTTCAAAGAAAAGATCAAGATATTTTAAATGCTATGACTCTTGTAAAAGTTTCAAAGGTGTTATTACAGAAGATGAGGGATAATGGGTGGGATCATCTATTTAAGAAGACTTCTAATTTTTGTATAAACATGATATAGATATCCCTGATATGGAAAGTGTACTTGCATTACAAGGGAGAACAAAATGTAGAGGACCAGCTACTCATCTGCATCACTTAAGGTTGACATATTTTATGCAGTGATAGATACTCAACTTCAAGAGTTGAATGATCGTTTTAGTGAAGTTAGTTCAAATTTGCTGGAATGCATGGCATGTTTAAATCCGTGCAACTCTTTCTCGACATTTCACAAAAATAAGTTGCGTGAATTTGCTGGTTGTTATCCTTCGGATTTTGATTTGAATGATTTTGTCATGCTTGAATATCAGCTCGACACGTATATTTTTGATATGCAAAGTGATCCTGATTTTTTGAATTTGCAAGGAATAGCTGATCTTGCCAAGAAGATGGTTGAAAAGAAAAAACATATTATGTATCCTTTGGTTTATTTACTTGTAAAGTTAGGATTAACTCTGACTGTAGCAACTGCATCTGTGGAAAGAGCATTTTCAGCTATGAAATACATCAAGACTGCACTTCGTAATCGGATGAGGGATGAATGGTTGAATGATTGTTTAGTGCCATATATTGAAAAAGATGTATTTGATAGCATTGTTAATGAGGCAATTATGATGGAATTCCAAAAAATAAGGCCTAGAAGATTGACATTGTAAATATTTTTATTGTAATATACTTTTACTATTAAAATATATGTACTTGAACTTGAGTGCCCATCCTTCTTCAAATTCCTGGATCCGCCACTATGTATTTATATAGGTACGTTACGTGTTGAACACTCAAATTATGTAATCGTTACTTTTTCAAATAAAAATCTAACTACTAATGATTAGTCAGCTAAAAAATCTTATATGTTTTACAGGGTACCACCTCGTGGTTGTTGTTATATTTACCTATATTATTTGTTTATTATTTATTTATTTATTTTATTATTCTAATATTTATTTAATTATTTATATTATTATAATTATTATTGTTTTTTAATATGCAGCTTTAAGCCCCACTTTATAACACAAATTGGCATTTTCCTTTCTTCCAAAGCATGGCGACTGGCGCTACTGGCACCAATAACACCACTCACATTTTTAACATCCAGCTTTAAGCCCCACTTTAAGTGCCAACTTTCTTTTTCATTTTCATTTTTTCAAATACAAGGCGTTATTGGCACCACTCACATTTTTCATGGCGCGTTTTACGCCAATTACATTCACATGGTGGCGCTTTAGGCGCCACCTTATATTATTATTATTATTTATTACAGATATGGCCTTTGGATGTTAGTAAATAAAAATAGGAAGTCTAACAGAGTTGGATTAAAGGAGAAGGTGCAACTATCTACCCGTCAAGCCTGTCTACTGGAACATATGATAGGGAGAAACAGGTATACCTGAAACCTGTAACCTCTTATTCTGTGATCTAATGTCTTGTCTTTTTTGGAATGTGATGGGAGTAGCATGTTCTCAAGTTAATGGTTAGGAAATATAATATTTGTTTGACTATTTTGTTTTAACCTAAAACTCAAAAATTGAATTGTCTGAAACTCATGAAATTTATTGGTTTTGATGGTCATTGATAGAAGAAGCTCAGGGTTTTTTAGGTGGGATTTGGGTGTTATGGTCGTCTAGATTTATTCAAATAGAGATTCTGACTCAGTCTAGCCAGTTTATTCATATGAAAATCAAACTCCAGGGATAGGATACTTGTTTGTGTACTGTTGTTTATGCTAGTCATCGTGAGGTTGAGCATCATCAGCTGTGGAGTGATCTGCATAATATCAGTAGCTCTTGTTCTGAACCTTAGATCATATGAGGGGATTTTAATAAAATAACAAGAATATATGAGAAGAAATGGGGTATCCCTCCCGATCCTAAGAAATGCGAGTTGTTTAGTACTATTTTGGAGGATTGCAATGTGGCAGATTTGGGTTATACAAGTTCTCCTTTTACATGGCAAGGGCCTAAATGGGGGCACTTAGATAGAATTTTTAAAAGACTGGATAGGATTGTTGCTAATTTGGATTGGCGTATGAAGTATGATGGGGCTAAGGTCACCAATCTTCCTAGAATTCACTCTGACCACAATCCTGTCATATTAAAGTTCTTCGAGACTAAATCTAATGATTCTAAAAGGCCCTTCAGATTTGTGTCTGCTTGGCAGGAGCATCCTGGATTTAACTGTTTAATGGAATCAGCCTGGTTAAAAGAGTTTGATGTCCCATACATGTTGGAATGATTTATCCCAACTGCTACAGAGTGGAACATAAAGGTATTTGGGAATATTATAAGAAGAAAAATAGTCTGTTGAAAAAGTTGGAGCATATACAACTTCAAAAGTCTATGGCTGATTCGAACTGGTGGCATAAACTAGAGGAAAAATGTCAGAAAGAGCTGGGAAAAATTTTAGATGAAGAAGAAAAGTTGTGGTTTCAGAAATGTAGGCAACAATGGATTAGAAATGGGGATCGAAATACGAAATTTTACCATCTTTGTACAATTATCCAAAGAAATGGTAATATAATTTCCAGGTTGAGAGCTAATTCTAACCGTTGGATCTCATACCCCAAGGAACTAATGAAGTTAGCCTGTAGCTTTTACCATAACCTATTTAACGAAGACATTCCTTACAGGCGTTGGCTGAACTCTGAAAATTTATGGCCATAATTGTCCGAGGCTGAAAGGCTTGATCTTGCTAGAATCCCTTCTAAGCAAGAAACTCGACATGCCATGTTTAATATGGGTCCTCTGAAATCCCCTGGTATTGATGGTTCCCCTGCAATATTCTTTAAAAAAAACTAGACGTTTGTACAAGACCAAATTTGTATATGATTGAAGATGTCTAGAGTTACCCTAATCTGATTTCAACTTTTAATTCAACGTTGCTAGTGCTTATTCCAAAGAATAATAGTCCTTCACACATTTCTCAATTTTGGTCCATATCTATTTGCCCAGTAATTTATAAATTGATTAGCAAGATAATTGTTATGAGGTTGAAGCCTATTATGTGAAGATCCGGTTCAAGCTAGTTTTGTCCCACATAGACATATTCAGGATAACATAATTGTGGTGCCGGAATTTATCTATACAATGCATCGCATGAAGGGTAAGAAGTATTATATGGCAGTCAAAGTGGATCTAGAAAAAGCATACGACAGGCTTAATTGGAACTTTTTGAAACTGATTATGCAAGAAATGAAAATGCCTCCCAATCTGATTGATATTATAGCGAAAGCAATATCTTCTTCCAAGATCAACATTCTGTGGAATGGCAGTGTTACCGAGGAGTTTCATCCCTCTCGAGGAATTCGTCAAGGGGACCCATTATCCCCTTATTTGTTTGTTATGGCAATGAAAAAATTGTCTCACATAATAAACACGATGGTTAATAGAAATTTGTGGAAGCCTATTAGAGTTGGTAAGGAGGGTCCAAAGATTTCTCATCTTATATTTGCAGATGATTTAATGCTCTTCGCAGAGGCCGGCATGGATCAAATACAAAATGTTTTAAAATGTTTAGAGCTGTTTGGGGAGATATTTGGCCAAAAAGTAAGTGATATAAAGACAACTATATTTTTTCAAAAAATACTCCATAGGAGGTTGCTTCTAATATCACTAGGTTTGTGGTTTTAAAAGAGTTAGGAATGTGGGGCGTTATCTTAGGGCTTGGATGCAACATGATAAAGTCACTAAAGAGTCTTATGTAGCTATAGTGGACAGAATGAAAGATAAGCTTACTGGATGGCAATCTAAATGCTTATCCCAAGCTGGCAAGATCACATTATCTCAGTCTGTGCTGGCTGCCACACCTTATTTCCAAATGCAATATGGAAGGTTGCCTAATAATGTTTGTATGGAGATTGAGAGAATCCAAATGAGGTTTATTTGGGGGGATACAGAGAGCCAAAGGTATATGCATCTAATTAATTGGGATACCATCACAAAGGCTAAAGTGAATGGAGGTCTGGGTTTAAAAAAATATGTTATATGAATTATACTTTTATTCTCAACCCCAAACTCTTTGGGTGCAAGTGTTGAGAGCTAAATATGCTAACAATAGAGAGGAGACTGATATATTTAAAACCAAATCAGGGGACTCAAGATGCTAGAATTATATATGCTCAGAATGGAAAAAACTAGAAAAAAATTTGGTGTGGGAAATCAGAGATGGATCTAATGTTCTGTTTTGGAAAGATAATTGGGTTTGTAAAACAGGTAGACTTTTAGATCTGACAACACATCTAGTTTCTTGGGAAGAGGTGAGTAAAAAAGTGGATCAATATGTGGATGAATCAGGTAACTAGAATTTGGATGGTCCTGCTAATTGGTTGTCTTATGAAGTTATCAACTGAATCAAAAGCTATCTGCCCCCTTTCATCAATGATGGAGTTGATTGTCTAGTTTGGTATCTCCCTGGTCATCCAAGGTTGTCTATTAAAGGAATTTATGAAGCCTTTGCTGATGTTGAAAGTGAGCAAAGTAATCCAACAAATCTCTGGAAGTTAATTTGGAGGTGGAGGGGTCCCCATAGGATTAAATTTCTTTGGAAAGTTGGCCATGGTCGTCTTCCTACCCAAAAAAGAACTAGTAGTTTTCGACTGGGTGAGTCTTTATGTCCAGTTTGTGAAAATGAAGAGGAGGATTTATTACATGTGTTAAGAGATTGCAAGTTCATCAATGAGGTTTCGCTTAAGCTTGTCCCTTCTACCATTTCTAATTTGTTTTTTAAAATTGGTTTGCCTGATTGGTTAGTGAACAATTTAAATCGGAAAGTGCAAGGTCCTTTCAACATTCCCTGGGAAATAGTGTTTGCGTTAATAGCTTGGTTGTCTTGGAATTGGAGAAATGATATAGTGCATGGTTCTAGTGTGGGAGGAAATAAATATAATATTGAGAGAATTAAATCAAAGCTTCGAAAATTTTTAATGTTATCTATATGAGGGATAGTTCTGTTGTGCAAAGTCTTCATTTTGAAGTTTTGATTTGCTGGATCCCTCCTAAGAATGGGTGGGTTAAACTCAACACTGATGATACTTCGAAAGGTAACCCGGGTAGAGCAGCGTGTGGAGGGATCGTTCGTGGTTCAGAAGGTCAATGGATAGATGTTTTCTCTTACCGAGTGGGTTTTTGTAATGTAATAACAGCGAAATTATAGGAAATTCTAAAAGGTTTGCAACTAGCTTGGGAAGGAAGCCGGAGAAAGGTAATTCTTGAAAGTGATTTGATAGCTGTTATCACTTTGCTCACCAGGGTTGGTGATGCATCCTGTGAGTTGCATCTTGTGACTCGAATACGAGAATGGCTTTCTAGGAGGTGGATGGTACGATTAGTTCATACTTACAGCGAAGGCAACATATTTGCGGACTGGTTGGCAAATTTTCCTTTGGAGCACCCAGATTAAGAGGAGTATATGACTTTCCATCCCCCCCCAGAGAATTAGATGGCTTTTCTTTTCTGATTTTAGCTCTGTTTTTAGATCTAGGAACATTCTTGTTTCTATTTTGAGGTAGTTTTTTTCCTATTTTTGTTGGGCCTGAGGCCTTCTTGTTTACCAAATATTTTTTTATTCAAATACAATAATCAACAAATATAAAATACACTTATAAATGACAAACATAAAAGACACATGTGAATTATATTAAACAGAACACCTTTTATTTGCAACGATATAACTTGTTATCTTATTCAGCTTCAAATTATTTATAATATATATTTTTTTATTTGTTGCAAAGAAAAAGTTTAAAACATCCCCTTCCAGTTTAATTTTTTATTACTTACCCCATTATGTTTTTTCTTTTAAACAAATCACTTACTTTCCCTTTGTTTTTTTATTGGTCATGAGGGAAAAGTGAACATATTAATCCAATATTTAAGCGCATTTACAATGGACTTAGATAAAAAAAACATAAGAAAAATAAGTGATAGAAGAAAAAGTATGGGATAGTAAATGATTATAGAAAAATCACAAGAGAGTTTTTGAACTATTCTCTTAATGTGATTATATTATAACTTGTCAAATACAATACTTTTGGAATGTGTAGACTTAAAGGAAGGTTAAACATAATGGTTAATAATGTCAATTTCATTTTGTATCCTACCCCGGTGATTGGTCAAGTAATGTATTTATTTTTATTTTTAAAAAAATATTTAAATAATGTAATTTTGAAATGTATTATCAAAGTAATATAATGAGTCTCCTATAAGGAGTGTTTTAAAACCTGGTGAACCGGTTATGACCCTTGGTTCATTCAATATTGAACCGATTTTATGTTAAATTATGTAAAATATATACATTTTGCAAACACTGAGATTCAAACTTGAGTCCCCTTGTTTGAGGAATGGAAAGCTTACAATTGGATCACTTTTATTTATTGGATATAATGTTCATAATTTAATATTTAATATATGTTATTTTGAAATTTGATTGAACCACTGATCCAATAACTCAGTATCTCAATCGAGTCGATGATTGGGCCGAATTTTAAGTAAGGTAGGTGTGAGACCTATCATGCATAGGAAGATGCATATACAATTTAACCATAATTGATCCCATACAAGCAATGTTATTAAAATCGCATGTTACCAACAACAAAAAATCGCGCGTCAACTAAAATCGACCGCTCCTATGATTTTTCCCATTCCTGCGATCTGAAATGCATGCAAGATCGTTTTCTTCTTTGATTCATCAAGATCGTCGTTTAAGCTCGTGAAATCGGTCGGATCGTAAGATCCCGCCGTTTTTGTGATTTAACTCCTTCTGGAATGATCATGGAATGCCAACCTGATAATGATTCTAGAACCTTCACACCCCAATGCTCCTACAATATGTCGTCAACAAAAGGTACACCTACCCACCATTTCTACCACGCTTGCCATAATAACCCTAATTATACGAATTTTAAATTAGAGGATTATAATGAGGACCTTATGGTCATAAATAGAATGAGGAAGAAATTCTAAGAAGATTGATACCCATATTGAAGGTATTCTACACATGTGAATTTTCATATGTTAATTTTGACTGCTGACGCAGTATGTAACAGCCCGTTGTACACCGGTATTGTTAACATTAATTATGATATTAAGCGCAGTTACAATCACAGCAATTTATTTATAAAAATGCGAGTAAACTTTTTCCGTTTATTACGCGAGCATTTAAAATAATAAAAAACGTAATAAATAGAGTTGTGACCGTAACTGTAAATTCTTTGCGGAATAATTATTTAAACTATTTTTATA